AATTTTTTTTTTTTTTTTTTTTTATACTAATTCATCATTTGAGACTATTAAAGTTGCAAAATAATAGTTCAAAATCTATTTGAAATCACGAGTAACATATTGGTATAGATTAATAACAATACCCATGAATTTTACGTTCTAAGCTTTAAAAAAATTTCAATAATATTCTTAAACTAACTGAACATAAAAGATACCCTTAAACTAAAAAATTAAAAAAAAATTAAAAAAAAAAAAAAAAACTCTATTTTAGATAAAGAATCAGCCAAGGGTTAATTTTCTATATATTTAAATGAGGTTTTTCGGTATATTTTAAAGGTAAGCCTGTGGTTCAATTAATCAGACTCAACAATATCAAATCAAAGATAAAATCAAGTAAGGAATGAGGTCTACCTTTCACCCTATGCAAGGTGAACTCAATCTTCAACTCACTGATCTTTGACATTCAGAATCTGGTTGAAGCAATACAGCAGGTTGATGTTGCCACGTCCACCGTTGGTCGTCGTGATCGTTGGTCAAGATCTGGCTATCGAACAAGCTGGTAATTTTAAGGAAGCCTTAAGCCATTCACCACTGTCACATTTGATACTCAACTTTGGCAGAGCTTCCAAACAATAGCTTTTGATGGGACAAAGAATGAACATCAAAACTGAATCAACTGCAAAATCTTACACGAGAGAGAGAGTAGATTCGCCATTTGCACACATTTTCTCCCATCTTCATTTGTTTCCCTTTCTTCCCTTCTTCCCGGAAGCCTTAGCAGATCCCCCCTTACCTCTTGGAGCCTTTGAGTTCTTTCCCTTCTTCGAACCTTTGCCCTGCTTGCTCATTCCGTGCTTCCTTGCATCCTTCTTCATTCGTCGATCTACTAAGGTTTTACCCTTCCCAACCCGAACTTGAACTCCTTTCTTTGCAACCACAAATTCCTTTTTCGGTCTCTGGGGCACTGCTTTTTTGTAAAGTTGATCGATCATCTTGCTCTTTGATCGATCAGATATATCGGCCTGGTCTGAGATGATGTTTGCCTTCTTGCGAACCTTTTCGAGTTTCTTCATTGCAACTCGCTTCTTTCGTGCTTTAGCTTCAGCTACCTTTTTAGCAGGGCGGGCGTCGATTTCTTTGAACTGTGCTCTCATTGCTGCAACCTCCTCTTTGGTTATAGGCTTTATTGGTTGACGATGTCTTTTCTCCTCGTCCAAAAACCACTTGGGCAAGCCTGTGTCGTCGAACATGTATTTGTTATATGAATCATCAAGAATTTGCTCTCTTTGCTTTTTCCTCACCATCTTTTTCGCACATGCCAATATCTCAGCCTTCGTGTCGGGCTCTTCATCCTCGGATTCTTCAGAGGATGAATCGTTGCTTGAATCTGTAGCCGGGGCAGGGACTACCTCAAATCCATCATCTGCTTTAATAGAGTCTTTTGCATTGGTTGAGATTTTCGACTTCTCTCTTGCATTCTTTGAAATATTTGACTTGGCTACTTTGGTGACAGCAGTTTTTTCTTTTGGCCCATCAACCTGCATATCATCTTCGCTATCCAACTCCTTCAAATCTCCATCTTCCGCTGCTTCAGCAAAAATATCCTGACCGAACCATTTGTTTGCGATCTCCTCTTGAGTCGGCTCTCCACCGTCATCAAGAGATACCATCAGTGGATTTCTATCCTCGTCTACCAGATTTTCATCAGAGTCATAATCAGATTGAAAACCATCGCCTCCATTCTCATCCTCCTGCAGACAACCAGACTCCAAGTTGAGGATAATATTTTATCCGGAACTGATGGCTATATGTGCTTCATATGATCATTCGACTAACACGTAAATGATGATTGAATGAAGCTAACTATTAACAGTCCTACTTGATGGACGGAAATAACACGTGCAAACAAAAATAGACCAAAAGAAAAACCAAACGAGTGACCCAAAACCATGAACAGCATCAGAGGACAAGGTATACTTATCTAGCCCTTCCCTTAGAATTAAAATCGAATAGATTTGAGGGTCTTGAGTAATTGATGATTAGGGGTTCTCATAACAAAAGGTACCTAATTTCAAATTAGTAGGATTTCATATCAAATAGCATTATAGCTTCATACCTCAAGTAACTCGGCATCATCAGAGTAGGCTTTTTTTGCACGCTTCCTCTGCTTTGCACTACCTTCCTTTCTGGCAACAAAGCTTTCATAAGCCTGATCCAACAATTCCTCCATATGTTCATCATACCTGGAAAGAATAGCATCAGAATACATCTCAAAATAACAAAAAGCAGACAGTTGTAACTTCAATCTGAAAATTAACAGAGTTAAGCAAAGGGAGGGAGAAAACACCTTCTGCGCTCTTCATCAGAATCAATGTCGCTAGCTGAAGACCCATGATCTTCCTCATTGGTTACATCATTTTCATGTTCTCCCAACTCACCATTGTCGACATCATAGTCAGTTGAATCAACAACTCTTAAGTCATTCTTACCCTGGTTCACATACAATGGCAAACGAATTTCAGAAGAAGATACAAACATTCCCAATGCCAGGAAGAAAAAAAGGAATACAGATTGGCAAGGAAATGTTTGTGAAAGTATACCTTGATGTTAGAAAGAGAGAATAACTCGTGATCAATATAACCCTCTTCCATGACGTCTAGTTGCATCCCCATCGCTTTCCTAGCTTTGTCCTTTATGATAAGAAGAATAGATACTCAATCAGCTATTACATGGCTAGTCATAAAATGCAAGGATGAAAGCATGGTCATATTCTGAGTTTTTATTGGGTGGAGAAAAAGATTCCATATGCCAATAATAATTTGATCAACCTATACTTTACTTCTATTAAACTATTGCATAAAAGATGAAAGCTACACAATTGGCGGACCAGTCAACTGGAGATTACAACTTACAAGAACATGCACTACCCTTCTTAAGTCGAAACGTAGCGCGTAGCAGTAAGTTAAAAAACGAAAGTTCTAGAAGTCTAACAAAGAATTAGACACTCGTACTGTATGGACATAGTGCCCTAATTCTTTATCAAAATAATATTGTAAAAAGTATAGTTCCCAGGTGCAAAAATACCAATCAGCAATCAAATTTTCTCACAGTAAACAAACGTCAAATTGCAATTAATTGAAATACCATGGTCAGTAAAGGTGTAAAAGAACACCATACATAATACTCTGTAAGCATTAATCCCAATGGACAAGAAATAGAGAAAGAGAACTATGCAAGATCACAAACCTTAGCTCTCCTTTTTGCAAGAAGCTTCTTTTCCCTTTTCTTCTTGCGTTCAATAGCATACGTCAGCTCCTCCATCTCATTTAGTAATTTATCATCTTCGTTCTGCTTTACCTCATTTTCAGCATCTTTAACAGAAGTGAGCGTAGCCTTTTGATTGGGAGATAAGGCCTTCCTTATGTGCAATCGCCATCTAAATGAAGAATTATAAACGAATAAAAACATTTAGTTGTAAGAGAATTGTCGCAGACTTGCATGCAAAGTGTGCACATAGATAACCACCATTACAGTAAATCAACCTTTAAAGTTCATTGTTCCGTTTTTACAAGTATTCCACAGGCAGAGGGAAATCCAATGCCCTATGACGCCTATATGGTCCTATCAGGTGGAACAAAACGTGAATAAGACTTACCCATAAGCCTAATTATTTATGACCCCATGCAGCTCTACATCTATTATAGGAATGCAACACCTCCAATCCAGATTATGAAGACTACGAGAATGGGCCTACCAAAAGAAAAAAAAATTAACTTTGTTCTTTAGGAATGAAAATATTTACGGGTACCATGGGGCCAATTTTGTAAAAAACAAAGATGGTACCTAAACTAGTCAATAAATATCTATATCCATATTCCTTGAAACTACTTCACAAATTCATTAAAAAGGAAGGAAGAAAAACCAACCCCATAATAATTCAAATTTTAAGAGTTTGTCTTTTGTGTATGCTTTCTCAATCAAGCAAGAGCATAGACCCGTGACAGAAAAGTTCAAATTTGGGTGCCCCAAAGAAGTCATGATTTAATCCTCTCCAACATCTAAAGACCGCATTACATCTTGCACAAGTTCAACGACTAAAGTAAAGATTAGCAAATGCATGAGCGAACAGGTGTTTAAAAAATGCAAAAAAAATAGAAGGCAAGTATCTAGAGGGTGTGAATCTTACTTCAGCAGATGCTTAAAATCTTGCTTGCCCAGGACACGCAAATCATCACAAAGTGCCTTAACCTGTTAGAGAATAGGCATTTAGGAAATAAAGTACCCAGATGATGACCGGAACCTTAAAAAAAACAAATTTTATACATACAATACCTCTTCAGTTGTTAAATCATGATTCTTAATCAGCAAACAAGCAGGATCATCAAAAGTTATACAAGTCACAGTTCCTAAGATCTCAAGAGGAGAATCTGACCAGATGTAATTAGACGCAGAAGACACTTTCCGAAGAGTCAAATCTCCATCTTCATATCTATTATCACAACATAAAATAAATGAGAAATATTTCACTGGAAAATAACAGATGATCGTCACTGATTCAACGGTTCAATTTAACCCCTTTAGTACTCGTACAGTTTTTTCTAAATTTTCATAGTTCAAAGGTTGCAGGAAATCGAGCACCCTGGTGTTTGATAATATCTAAATTGTAAGTCAAACGTGAGCATAAACAAATAACAAAACATATAAATATGTCCTTCAAATGAAGAATTACCCATCACGATGTCTCTTTTGTTTTGTTCCTCTAAGTACATCCACAACCTACACAAAAAATTAATTTGAAATAACATATTGATGATGATGATGAGGTGAATACGAACTGAGTAAGTAAATAAAACACCACACGCATTAGGAACATTTGGATGAGGTGAATACGAACTGAGTAAGTAAATAATCGCATTAGGAACATTTGGATGTAGTGACACTAACCTTCCGTTGGGATTCTACAGATCCTTGAAACAGGTGCTTTACATCAAGAAGTCGTGGATCAATCTTTGCAGGAGCCGTATATCTAAGACCCAAAACATATATTTCTGCAGATGCAGATCGACTTGCTGCTGGTTTGTCGACCTCAACCTTTTCAAATAACTGCAACACCATTTAAATGTTTATAAATATCAGACAGAGAGAAACAAATGGCCATGACATCAGATTAGAGTGAAATTACCTGCTTGAGACAATATAGGACAGAACTGTAATCTTGTGACCTGAAAACCTGAAAATTAAAGAGCAAATAAGCAATCTGAAGCCAGTCATATTTGTTATGGGAAAAAAAAAGTGCTCGTGAGTTCCTGATCCGCACATAACCAAAATAAGATTAAGAATGATCCTGTTTCCTTCGAAGATATTGACAACGTAGAAATTTAGCATTAATCAGTGAAGTCCCCTATCAAATGGTCCAGTAGTAATAGCTCAACCAGTTAATAATTAATAATCAACTAACCACGATAGACCTGGGACTTGTTTGTTTATCAACTAACCATTGAAATAATAATTAATAATCAACAACCTAAACAGTCACCAACGAACAAGAACGGGCCTAAGAGGATTACAAAACCATTGAATACCTAGAATCAAAACTCACCTTGGTAACAAATGCACCCTTTGGAGCCAATAACTGAGTAGCTAATTTGACAGAATCTATAACCAACGAATTCTGGCTCATGGCCTCCTGCGCCCAAGCCCCACCAACATTGGGCGACCCATCGTGCAAGATCAAATCAAAAGCAGCGCACCCTTTCTCGTTCATAATCTTCTTGAGCCTCGCCTTGCATTCCGGCTTCGTGATATCCTGCTCGATAGCAATGGCACCGCGAACGGGCGCAATGGGAACCAAATCGACACCGACAACGAGGCTACCGACGGGAACCCGCTCGACGGCGACTTGCATCCAACCACCGGGGGCGGCGCAGAGATCGAGAACGGCATGGGAGGAGCGGAGGAAGTTGTATTTGGAGTCGAGCTGGGCGAGTTTCCATGAGGCACGAGAACGATAGCCATGCTCTTTAGCAAGGCGATAGTACTTGTCCAAACGATGCTTCCCCTTGACTTTGCCCATGGCGGAATTTGGAGCTTGAAGGATTTGCAGGCGATGGCGATGGCGATGGCACTATGGGCTTTTGGTTTAGAAAGAACAGTGGGAGAGATTTTGAGCATTTTAAGGAAAGAGACGAGCGAGACGGTTCAGGGTTTAAGGGTTTGGTTTTTTCTGTATTGAGACGGTTCAAGGTTTAAGGGTTTGGTTTTGCTGTTTTGGGTGGTTCAGGGTTTAAGTGTTGGTTTTTATTGTTTTTGAGGCGGTTCAGGGTTCATTCAAGGGTTTGGTTTTTATTTCTTTGAGACGGTTCAGGATTTTGCTTTTTTACTAAATTAAATGGAATATAAGGGCTTTAATATCATTTAATTGATAATACTATACCGCAAAAATACCTCTAATTTTTTTTAAAAAAATATAACACTCTTAAAAATTTTAAAAATTCAAAAAATATTTTCATAGTAAATTTTGATTAAACTTTCAAAAATGTTTCTGGCTGGTCGGCAGTCAAGCGATGGGCGCATGTGTGATTCTGACTTAGAGGCGTTCAGTCATAATTCAGCACACGGTAGCTTCATGCCACTGGCTTTTCAACCAAGCACGATGACCAATTATGCGAATCGTTCTCCATCGATGATGCAGAAAGTAGAAGAACTGGAAATGAAAGAGAATAAGAAGAAGTTGCACGGAGCGTGAAAGTGAAACCGCATCTCTAAAATTTACAAACCCCAAGCTGCTACGGCTATGCTTTGTTACCAAATTTCCAAACATTATTTAAAAGAGTGTAAAAACTTATCCCTAGCAAACGCGTTTTAAAACCATAAGTAAAGGGAACGAAACATTCTTTAAGAGGGTGTGAAAACTTCTCTCCAACAAATGCGTTTTAAAACCATGAAGCAGGCGACGACACGTAACAGGCCAAAGCGAATAGTATCTACTAGCAATATTTGCTAGCGATAAACTTAGTATGTGACACTTCACGTCTATATACAAAGTTCTATAATTTAACGGACAGATTCAAAACTACCCTGTTCTTGAAAAAGTAGAACAAAAACAATTAAAGCAGAAAGGAACTTCAAAACTTGAATGTGTAGGCATTACTTTTGCACCAAAAACAAGAGCAATCTAAGAACACACACACACAGTTCCAATCCACATCTCATTGGGGAGTTGTACAAAAACACTGCAACTACCAGCTTAAACAGTCCACAGCAGAGCCACATAAAAGTGTAAAAGGTTTCAAATACGCCCTGCAACCGAACCAGATTACGAACCAGATTACGACGTGTATTAAAGTGACAATTTCTACAACAGGCAGTTCTTCAGTTATCATAAAGGGTTTGGCATATAACCATGTCCCAATCAATAAATCCATAAGCAATCTTAACTACAAGTAACTTCAATCCAAAAAAATTTCTTCTACTGTGAACATCCAAATCTCTACTTGTACTAATTGCTGTAAATAATAAGCCATGAATCAATCGTCGTTCGAGATACCGCTACTTGCAGAAGCTTTTTTGCCACCATACTTCTGCAAAACATCTTTTTCGATCAGAAACAATTTCGTTGATCGTATAAAAAGGGGAGAACGAGCATGGAAAAGGGAAAAAGGAAGAACTTGTAAAAAGTGCCCGAGCAGCTAAACGATGGAGAATATGAAAGGCTAGTAAATGTCACGATGTATTAGAAGTATTTGATAAGTCACCTGCTTTCCAAGACTAAATGGTATGTATTTGTACTTGATCATATGTGCAATCTGACGCCTCATTGTCAGGACAAAAAGAACAATCCAGTAACAAAGTAAAATGGGCCAGAAGACAGGAACATCAAAGATGGAAAAGAAGGTCATTACAAAGGCAATGCAAAAGGCCTTTGTAAATGAGTACCTGCAAACACAAATTTACATTTATATGAGGAATAAACAAAATCATGATAGCTTCCAAGAGGGAAGGTGTTATGGGGGCAGACAAGAAGTTCGACACCAAAGAATGCAAGTACTGGTTAATCGAAGATTCAAATTCGAATAACAGAAAAGAACTACATGAACACCTAAGTAAAACCGTGCTGTAACGGTATCGATTAATCGACTATGAGGCAAAAATGAATATCATCGGTATAGAAAGTCCACAAATAAGAAATTAGAAAAAAACGGTTGCCCACGTTTCACACCTTTTTGGCGACGAGCTCTTCCAAACAAATTGACATAAGAAAGGGAGAAAGTTCAAGGGATCAAGGGAAGTCTTTCTGCTAGCGGGTAATACTCGAAGAAGCTTAGTAAGGCCTTTCTCTCATGGTGAAAAAAATGGAGTGGCTTTTATCTTGTGAACGTGTCTACTTCACGAAGCATCCAAGCAATATTCGAGATCGTTACCAAACAAACAGGTTAATATTTTAGAATCAGTGTCATACTCCGTGACATCTATAATGTCAAGGAACTTTCTCCAGCAACGTAGAAAGAAAAAGAAAGGAATCGAAACTAAAAAGGGAAAGGGATAAAGGTAAAAAGAAAGTATTAACCTACACGATATAATAACGCTAAATGAGACCAGGTTCTTGTAAGACCATCAAAATTTCAACGAGAACCGATCATATATAGTCTTCTTCCAAACAATAAAGTAATCTCCTTGTCTTGTTTCAATTACTGAGACACAGGAAAATACTTCTTCCTATTCCATTCCAAATGATCTCCTAATTCTTGAGATATCAATAACTATGCAAGTAAACGGCGACATGTGCAAGAAAATAGTGCTGACCATGTGGATTCAGGATCTCAACATTGCCATATGCATAACGAGCAAAGCCCATCATCAAGCACCAAAGAGTAGTGGTCACGATGGACAAGAGATAATACACACAAGATTACTTGATGCGCACAAATTTTTTCTGTGAGATCTCAAACCGGTTGGAAAGGGAAACGAAGCATTCTTTATAAGGGTGTGGAAACCAATCCCTGGCAGACACGTTTTAAAAACCTTGAAAGGAAGCCCAAAAGGAAAAGCTCAGAGAAGACAATATCTGCTAGCGGTGAGCTTTGACTGTTACAAATGGTATCAGAGCCAGACATTGGGCGGTGTGCTAGCGAGGACGATGAGCCTCAAAGGGGGTGGACACCAGGCAATGTGTCAACAAGGACGTTGGACCCCGAAGGGGGGTGGATTGTGAGATAACAAATGTCAGCAAGGACGCAGGGACTCGAAGGGGGTGGATTGTGGGTCTCACATCGGTTGGAGAGGGGAACGAAGCACTGTTTATAAGGGTGTGGAAACCTCTCCCTAGTAGAAACGTTTTAAAAACCTTGAAGGGAAGCCCGAAGAGGACAATATCTAGGCTGTTACATATTCACAACATAACCAAATTCTGCACACCCCATAAAGTCAACCAAGTTTAAACAAGCTTTCAGTACCAGACTAGACATGATAGAATCAGATTTGAAACTACGAAGTAACAGAAGAGCAAACTTCAAAGTTCACCAGCCAAATACAATCAAGCAAACGATGCGAAAATCTCATGAATGAAATTCATAGTTACCAGAACTTAAATTCGGGAAGTCGGCGAATGAACGGCTTGAATTCATCTGAACCTTTAGTAGGCAGCAATGGTCCATCTGAAACTTCCATCTCTGGATCAACCAAAGGCGACAAAAATCCAATCAACAAATTGAGTATATAGATACCCAAACCATATGAAACAATGTAGAACCCTTGCACATAGAAGACCCTCAATGCATAAATTGCCAATACAAAAAGAGTTCCAATCCATCGGTAGACGGCATGTGGGGTAGTCTTATCAAGATAATATTGATAAAGCCTTGAAACATCATGTTGCCACTGGCTCAAGGGTGCTGCCGCTGAGGCAGTTTCACCTCCTATCCCATCCATTGAATATTAAACGCTTCACTATCTGCATATGAGCCATACAACTTATTCAACTTCTTCCACATTTGCCATAAGATTCACAAAAAAAAATACCCATGTTGTTCATGTTGTTCATGTTGTTCATGTTGTTCATGTTGTTCATCCCCAGAACACAATGATAACAAGAAAAAAGAACCCCAATACATTGAATGTTCGTATCCTGGAAGCAAAAACCTTCAAAGGGTTTCCACAAAACTGCATGTAATGAACACTTACCAAGTTCTAGACCCAATAATCAAAACATAGAGCAACAAATACCATTCTCCTCGATTCACCAAACTAACATTAGGGTTCCACACTAATTAGATCCGGAAACGAACACACCCCACAAATCGAAAATCAGAAGAAATTTCCAAAGAGAATGGAATACCTTAAATGGAAAGCAATTCAAACAAGAGAAGAAACGGAAAAACGTCTAGAAAAGCTAAGAAAATGAAGTTCATCCTCATACAAAGGCAATATTACAAATCTAATGAAACCCCACATCAGAAAATCAACATTATGAAAAGGGAAACAAGCAATTATAGAACAAAAATGAACATCTGGAACCTTGGAGTAAGCTTTGAAGCTCAATGAGTACGAAAAATGGAGATTCGGAAGCCAGGGAGGCGAAAAACGAGCAGATCTGCGAGTCTTGTGGAACTCTGATTTTTTCAATATTAATTTTCTAAATTTTTGGTAATATTCTTTGTTTCTTCCACTTTCATTTAAGAGAACGAGAGAAAAGGTAAAATTAAATTCGTTAACATTGACGGAATTGAAGATGAACACCAGTGAAAGATTGGGTCACCCATCTCGTTTGAGGAACGGAAGATAATTGGTCTGTCATCTTACAATCCTTCCAGTGCAGGTAAGAATATCACCTTGGAAGAATATGCCGTATCCTATCCCTATCCCTTTTGCTGCTACAGCGGGCTGAGGCCCATTTAAACGTAATTGGGCTTTCCAAATACATATCTATCTTGGGCCTATTTATTTATAATTAAAATATCACTAATATAGACATAATAATAATAATAATATATTTTTAATTATTTTTAAAATTATGAAATATTTATTAGTTAATTTAAATACTTTTATAAACTAAAAAAAAAATTACAATTGCACTTTAAAAACTTTCATTAATATCTTTTAAATTTTAAAAAATTCAAAAAAATTATTACATTTTATCTACACCTCATAAATATCTCCGAACTTTTTTTTATTATTTCTAAAAGTTTTAAATATAAATTTTCTACCATTTTTAAAGTTTAAATTATATTTTTAAAAATAAAGTGCAATATTTTTTTTATTAATTTAGTTATATATATAGATAGATAATTTGGTAATTAATAAAATTCTTTTCTTTGAAATTTAAAAATTATATTTTTTTAAGTCATATAATTTAAATTAGAAAAATTAAACGAAGAATAATTTCTTGCATAAATTTAATCTGAGAAAATTTAAATGAAAAATTATCAAAGTCGAGAACTTAAATGGGAGGCGCCGAGGATACGAGGTGGGGATGGGTTGGAAAGTCGATTCCCGATCCACCTCGTTTCGTGAACGTCTCTTATTTAAATTTACAATTTTTTTAATTTTATTTAAATTAGCTAAATTCTATGGATTTTCATGAAATGCTTGATAATAGAATATTCTTATTAAACCATTGACTAGACTTTGAAAGAGACTTAAAAATGCCTAATTGATGACGTGGATGAATCTCAGCCAAATCTGCTCCCTTTGGTCTGTGAGCATGCTGCGTGGTCTCATCATATCTTGACACGTGACACCTATCCCATATACATTAGAGATCAACTAAACATTTTTTTACTGAGAGTGTAAAAATTTATAGTAAGAAACTTATTTTAAAATCGTGATAACGATAGGTAATAGGTTAAAGTAGATAATATCTTTTAATGGTGTAGAAACGTACATATTATGCTTATTTTTTCGTCTCTTTTCTACATCGTTGTTGTTTTATTTTATATCTCTAACGGTCGAGAGCACATACATCATAGTACTTAAAAGGGTAATTTTTTTTTTCAACGACAATTTAAGATTCTAAGAGGAACGGTTCGATGACAAAAAATAACAATAAAATACCTGGTAATATTTTTACTGTAACGCTTCGGCCCGTTCGTTCTCCTCTCCAACCAATGTAGAATTTCACAATCCACCCTCCTTCGAAGCTCCGCGTCATCACTGACACTCGTTCCCCTCTCCAATCAATATGGGATCTAATAATCCACTCCCATTCGGGGATCAATGTCCTCACTAGCACATAGCTTAATGTTTAACTTTGATATCATTTGTAACAACCCAAGTCCACCGCTAGTAGATATTATCCACTTCGATCCGTTAGATATCGTCGTCAGCCTCACGAAGAGATTTTCACACCGTTCGATGTGAATCTCACATTTTACCGTCTACTAATTATTAATAATTAATTTGAGTAAGGGGATTCGTAAACTAAAAAATAAATTATTTTAATGCTTACAATTTGAAGCAATCTAGGGTGGTTGAATTATTTTTTATTACTTATTAAACATAAAAATAATAGTAAAATTAAACTATTATTTACCGTTAACTCATTGATTTTTACTACCTAACATGGAGTAATTAATTGGTGGTAATTTTCGAGTAATTATTGGAGGTGAAGTTTTATTTTGGAATAGGACAAATTAGGTACGGTTTCTTTCATCTCTCTTTTGGACCTCACATTGAGACATGGCTCAGACGGCTGGTGTGGCTCAGCGCTTGAAGCCGAGCCCGGTCCAGTTAAGGCTTATAGTACAGACGTCGCATCAATGCTTAAATAATCATGTTCTGAGCCCCGCTGTGGACCGACACCCCTGCAACCATGGCTCGTTGTTGGCCCCCACCTCTTGTCTCCACCCCCTGGCCCACCCTCCAACTCATATCTCGAATTTATCTTTAATAGAATATTTATCCAAATTCAATTATTACCTCTCAGCTCTATCGTTTTTGGCTCGAGCCAAATAATTAAATATCTAAGGTGAGCTCGAATTCATTCCTTCTAATTCAACGAACATTCTCGATAGTATGTTTTGAAGAGGGCTATACTCGAACTCTTTTTTTTCTAGATCCATCTCACATTAATAACCCGACCCCTACTGTATATAGATAGTTAATTTATCTTATAAGACATACGATGATTCTTGTACTATCTGAGACGTTAACTTACTCACTAAAATATCACCCGTCATTGCTCACAATCATTAAAAAAAAAATGATAAAATGTAACAGGTATGATATTGTCCACTTTAAGCATAAGCTCTCGTAGCTTTGTTTTGGGCTTCCCTAAAATACCTCGTACTAATAGAGATAGTATTATTTGATTATAAACCTATGATCATTCCCTAAATTAGCCGATGTGGGACTTTCATCATCTAACACTTCCCCTCGAACAAAGTACGTCTCCCCTTAATCGATGCTCGACTTTTTTTTTTTCTTGGAGTCTTAGTCATTTTTTACTATGCCTTCGAAGAGGCTCGACTCCTTTTCTTTTGGAGACATGTCTAAGTTTAGGCTCTGATACCGTGTTAGATGAACACAACTATCCCCAATGATATGATATTGTCCACTTTGCTTTCGGCTTCCCTAAAAGGCCTCGTATCAATAGAGATAGTATTCCTTGATTATAAACTTATGATCATATTCTAAATTAGCGGATACGAGACTTTATAAAATATGTTAATTTAAAAAAGATTGCATTTTTGAGAGGGAAAGCTTAATTTAATGGCATTTTGAAAGCGGCCACCGCTCCTGGCCCCAAACTGATGGACAGGTAAAATGGGAACCATAAACTTTGCATGCCATCACACGTGGCAAAGATATTTTTTCCACCCTTTCTAGATATTTTTTTTCACTCTTTCTAGATATTTTTAAATCTGAAATTACCATTTAATTTTACTTTATAAATTAATCAATAATAAAATAAACCATTTTTAAAGTTTAAACCTATAATTTAATATAAAAAGATGTGTTTTTAAATCGAATTAAAGACTTTTATTTTACCAGTATATGACATTTTGATAAAATTATGTCAACGTCCGGTAACTTAAAATGCATCGTACTATAAGGGTGCGATTAGTCATCAATTATTCATACCCAGAATTATAGGCTCTTTATAAGCGTTTTTTTTTTTTCTCTTCATATAGCCGGTAACATTACTTTATCCATTTCTCTCAAATCTTGCATTCAAATTCTGTTTCTAAAATTTGTTTCTATCCCTGTTTTTTAAAACTTTTTTCATAGAGTAGAGTCAGAGATTTGGGTTTATAGTATCCGGTCAATTTCAAGTTAGCTGACTCATTCCGTGGTGAGAGTGAGTATCACACAATTACTTACAAATGTCTTGTACGAGCACAATTGTGACACTGAATAGGTGCCGTGCCCTTAAAACTTAATTATTTTGTTCAGTTGCGTTAGAATTTTTCTACCAAACTTCAACACTAGAAATATTTATTTATTTATTTATTTTACTTCAAAATTTAAAATAAAATAAAATAAAACTATTTCTAATAGATTACCATAGTAGAAAGTGTACATAGATTGGTTGTGTCCGTGACTTGAACAACTAAGAACTGAGAAGTCAACACTTCACTGATTATTTATTATTTATTTTTATTGTTTAGATAAAACATGTTAAGTAAAATCTGTTAAAGTTCAAATATAAAACATTGTTAAAGTTCAAATATAAAACATTGATAAATTACAGAGTATTACTAACATTATTTACGAACATTAAATAATCTTAATTTTCGCAATAATCTTAAGGTAGGGTTGGGTAGGATTGTAATCCTATTTTCAAGTTGGTCGAATCACTCGACTAAAAAAAGTCAACTAACGAACCGACTTGAATTTTCGGCTTTCCATAAATTCAATCCAACTCAAACTGAAAAAAAAAAATCAACCCAGTCCAACCTAAAAAAAGTCAACTAACGAACCGACTTGAATTTTCGGCTTTCCATAAATTCAATCCAACTCAAACTGAAAAAAAAAAATCAACCCAGTCCAACTTTTATGATTTGGGTTTAGATAATTTGAGTTGGTCGATTTTTGAAAAATTTACGATCATTCCTCGCACGTATGTAAACGTCTTAAAATGTCAAATCATTTATTTTTCTTTACCAATAATTACCTAATAGTTTTGACAAGACATTTGGAGAAGCTCTAGAAATATTTTCTTAAATTGAATGAAATTAATTCATGTCTTGAAATTATATGATTTGTTTGTTTGTTTTTTTTTTCTCTATAATTTATTATTTTATTAATTTGAATTATTCTATTTGGATATTCTTTCCATTATATGCTGATTTCTTGTTTTTTTAATTTTTTTTATATAATTTATAATTTTAAAAGATAAAAAAAGATACGACGAATAAAACCATATTATATTTTTTGAACGTTATAAATCTTATGGATATAAAAGTTTGGGTTGATATAAGGTATGGTTTCATGTTTAAACCGGAGAGGGAGTAGAGAGAGATCTCTGTCGGTCTCTACCATGCTTCAAAACTAAATATAAAACTAACTTATTATATATTTACAGTGCGACGTTAACATATAGCTTTGATACTATTGATAGGAACAACGACCTTCCATACTAGTAATATATTGTCCACTTTAAATCTAAGCTCTCACAAAAGCTGTTCTATATATATATATATATATCTTATGCACGCACCCACCCGCACATACACAAACATATGATATAAAGGTCAGATATCGACAGTGTATCTGGTAGAATACTAAGCCTCTAAAGAGGTGGAT